CCTGGTTCTCTCTCCCTTGAATTTTTTTTAAAGTCCCCTTCCTCTGTTGCTGGTTGGTATGTGCTTTGGGAATGCAAATTATTTCTTTAACATTAGACCAAAGCAAAACATAATTAGAAAGGGAGATCAAAGATGCATCCTCTAATACATCTCAAGGCCAAATATGAATGATTTCTGAATGATCTGCTATTTTACTAAATTGTGTCACACAGATAATCAAAAGTTATGCTACCACATTTAATCTTGTATTAACTCTCACATTTGGAAGATAGTATGAGTCTGTCCAAACCAGTATTGATCTCCTTTAACTCATTGTTAGTAGACTCTTTCACTTGGCAAATAAAGTCTTAGTCTGAAAGCTAAAGGGTATGAGGATTTTTTAAAGACATAGAAACAAAAAAAATGAAAAGCAATAAAATCAGAGAACTGACTAGAATCATAAACTCTCATGATAGCTTAGGAAGCTCTTTGGGTTGGTCAGAGATAGAGGTACTCATCTCAACAGGAAGGAAGGATTATTCTGCATAAGTCTGCTTGACTTGGCATTCCTATTTTTGTGGCAAAATTTTGGTTTAAATTATGATGCCTAGTGAAAGTAAACTCAGTGTTTTGTCTTAAAGGAAGATCAAACATAGAGTTGCACATATATTTTAATCTTCATGTATATAAAATAATGCAACAAATAGGCCCTTTGTAGGGATTTTTAACATGGAATAGATGGGAGAAAAAAATGAAATTGAACAATCACTGCAAAGACAACCATATATGAAAGTAGACCTTATCTTGAAATCAATTAATTCAATCCTTTTATTTTGTAGATGAAATAATTGTGCCCAAGGGAGGTAAAGAGAATTGCTCAAGGTTACATTATCTATTCAACTTGGCAGAAACATGGCAAAAACTGAAAACAGTGACTATTCAATCATTATTCCTTTCACTTCACTATCATGGAAAGAAGGAATTATGTTAAAACTAATGAAGATTGTGAAAATTGTGGGGTGTAGATAGATGTATTTTTAAGAAAAACCTCATAAAATTTAGGCATACCGTAAATGGACTGATTCAATATGAAGACTTACCTTAGAAAAGAAATTGATTAGATGACATTTTAAATGTTCACATACACCAATAAGGAATTTTGATGATATCCTTGAGTCTATAAAAATGTGAAATTTTAAGTTAGGCATAATGCCTTGCCAAGAATCCCAGCAACTCACAAGGCTGGGGTGGGACAATTGCAGAAACTTTGCAAGACAATATCTGAAAATTGAAAAGTAAAAAGACAAAAAAAAGCTGGGGATATAACTCAGAAGGGGGAGCATCCGTGGATTCAAACCCCAGTACCACACCCACATACACAGAAAGTCATATCAAATATGGTCATGTATGCCAATTTGAGATAAATAGTAGTGTCCTATTTCTATACTACCTTGCACTGAAGCACCTTGTCTCCTGAAGAGAAAATGCAAAATACTCAACACTCCGACCATGCAGGGTTTTGTGATTAGTTGATGTGAAACTTCATAGGATAAGTTAATTCTCAAACCAGAGGTGTTTTTTAATGGGGCCAAGTTATTTGTGGAAAACTTCCACTATCCTGAAATATCAGTAAAGACTTTTGTACTGCCTTCTACCTCAGTTATTTGGGAAACTTGGGTTATTATTAGTTTTATTTCATCATACATAAAGTTGGTCATCACTAAGTTGAACACCTGGAGAGAAATGAAAGGCATATGAATACATCACAATTTTGAAAGACCGGAAAATAAAAATCCACTTTGGAAAATATAATGGTAGCAAAGAGCTCTCAGGACTTTGTAAATGAAAGAAAGCCCCACATTCTACTTGATCATAAAACCAAATAAAATAGTTTTATTAGAAATATATCCAAAATTTCAACTGGTTATACATTTTACTATGTTTTTTTTCTATAATTGTATATATCGTCTTTAAATACACACACGCACATGCACACACACACACACACACACACACACACACCCATAAGTATACACACCTGTATTCTTCAAATCATTTCTACCAACTGAAAATAGGTCAGAAAAACTCATTCTGATATTTGTGTCAGAATACTGAAGTGGAGGGAATTATAGCATCCATTGAGTATTCCATTGTTATATTTTCCTTAGTATAAACAAAAGACTAGAATCTAGTGCACATTCATTTTCCAAATAGGATCATATCATTTCTTCTTATAAAACCTCAGTGGCTTCCAATTATACTTAAACCTTTATATACACCTTACTTCCATCATAAGACAATCTCCAATCTGGGTCAAATCTGAGACCTTATCTGCTTACTTCATTTCAAACCATTATCCCCCTCATTCCCACACTAGCCCATCAGATTTTCAGTTTTTTTATTGAGTATCACAAGAATTTGTTTCTACCATACGCCTTTTACTACTGCTGCTGTCTACCTTGGCCCTCTGTTGTCACAGAAATTTTGTACCTACCTCTTCATGCCACTTCCTCAGAGGGGTCTTTTCTTATTACTTGACCTAAAAGAGGCTTTTCTTTTTTTTTTTTTTCCTTCGGTCAGGGACTCTCTACTATCCTCATTCCTAGTTTGCCACAAGATTAACATTTATTTTACAATGCATACGTTTATTTTTACTTTTAGTATTCTTTTTAAAATTTTGCATTGGTCTTCTCTAATAGAATCTAAATATTGAAATCAGTGGTTTTGTTGTTTTGTTTATTTTATCCTATTCGCCTCTATATTTCACAGGCATGAAACAATACCTGACTCAGAGTAGGTCTATAATAGTTTGAATATGAGGTATTCCCCAAATCGCATGTGAACTCAAAGGTAAAATGATTGAATTGTGAGACCTATGACTTACTCAGTCCCTCCTAGTTCAAATGAAATGTTAACTGTAGGCAGGTAGAGCATGGCTAGAGGAGGTGGATCACTTAGGGGTTCAGCCTGGAGTGTGCATCTTGTCCCTATTCATTCCTCCCCCAAACTGAGCAGTTTCCTGTGGTGAGCCTTTTCCCATAATGTCCTGCCTCATTTGGGCCCAGAACAATGACCCTGGCGAGCTATGGACTGAGACCTCTGAAATCGTCAGTCCCAAATAAACTTTCCCTTCTCTAAGTTTATTCTTGTCAGGTATTTTGATCACAATGAGACAGAGGTTAAAACAGGATACCAAATAAATATAAAAAGAATGAATGAATTCACTGAAATATGAGATTAAGAAGATAACAAGCAAACATATTCGCATTTCTCGAGTACCATATAACATCACCTGTGTTCCCCACCTCCATCCCTTCCTGAGCTGGTGATTGGTAAGTTCCATTTTATTTTCCCTACCACAACACAGAAAATCACAAGAATTAAAAAAATAAAATGGCTAAATCAAATTCTTGCTCATTGTGTTTTTCTTCTACAAGGACAATGAAAGTCCATTATTTAACCCTGAAAGATGAATCCTGCTTTCCTCACTCAATTTTTCTGTCTATGTGACTTTTTAAATTAGTATGAGAAGGTAAAATGGCATCCAAGGTTTTAATTAGATTCACTGCAGTTTCTGGTGCCCCATATTTTGTTCTATCTTAAGAAATATAATATGCAATCTATTTTCTCTGTGCCTGTGATATCATAAGATTCCTTTATTCAATACATTATATGTATTTATTAGTTAATATAAACCATGATAAGTTAGTAGTCAATTAAGGAATTAATATTTATTGAGTACCTCTTAACATTTCTGGCAACGTGTTGAGTTTTATTTGTTAAAAAGGAAAAAAAATGTATAAATTCTGCTTGAAGTAAAGGATATTGTAAGGAACCAGGCTTATAGAATACAATCAAATAATGGCACAACAAAATTGAGGGATTAACAAACCCAGCCCATTTTTTCTTGCTATTTTCTTAATCATGCAGCTGAACTACATGGACACTGAGTCAACAGATTCAAGATTGAGCTTTGGGTGCTTTTGTGTGTTTGGGAGGGTAGATTATGAGGTGGCAAAAAAAGAAGAAAGAGGAGAGAGGAGGTAGAGAGAGAAAGAGGAGAAAGGAGAGAAACAGAGAGATCAAGTTTGGTATTGTGTATAAAAGTGCTCAGATTCCAAGATTGATCTTGGCCAGAGGTTGACATCATCTAGTTCCAAAACCCTGTCATAAAGACACCCAGTAAAATCATTCTGGTTCTTTAGCATCAGTTTCTTCATGCTTCATCTAGACGACACCTATGTTGGATAAGGAAGTGAGCAAGAAACTCACTCAGAATCAAAATCTTTCAAAATAGAAATACAAATAATAATTTGTGACATATAAGCAATGAGATTAATGTGGTCAGAAGTAGATAAAAGATTTGATTTTGGAAGTGATTCTGCTGTTGGCTACTGAGAGGCATTTAGTATTCATAAGGATGAGTGAGTGAAGACATCAGTTTGGGGGGTGTGAGAATGATGAAGGTGCCACTAATAGTGACAAAATGATATAATACGCCCTTTTTGAAAACTTCATTAAGCTATATATTTTATTCATTTAACATTTGTGAAGTGCTCATGAGCACCACTAGAATATCAAGGAAGAGGTGTGGGAAAGAATATAGACCTCAAGGTCAGGATTGAAATCTTTGCTGGATCTTTTTGCTGGTTTTATGACCTTGGTCACATTACATTATTTCTCTTAATTCTTTTCTATTTATCTACAAAATGGGGATTATAATACCTACCTCACAAAATTACTTTAACATTGAATTATCTGCCATCCAGCTCTGTTATTGGCATAGTCAATAAACCTTATTAGGCACTTTTACTTCACCTTACATTGGGGAATGGAGCATAGTGGTCTCCAAGATCCTGGGTCAGTTATCAAACTGTAGCTAATAAAGATGTCATCACTATATCTAGTTAAGAAATAGTCACTGTGTGGTTGGGCTTATGAAAGAGTATTCTTTGTTCATGCTATTCACACCTGGATTTGCATTTGTCAGAATTTATTTGCTTTCCCTTTATTTTCAAAAGGATTTAATGTATACTGTGGGTCAAGGTGCCTGTTCACAAAGGAGCAAATAGTGTTCCTCAAGAGCTGGACAATTACAAACCAACACAGAGGTAGGCAGACAAGAGAATTAAAGTAGGACTCTAAGTGCCTGGTGCAGCTGAGAAAAGGTGGGAGGGGTGTTATTTAAGTAGAATTTGGGTCTCAGACTGGCATTTGAGAGATCTCATTAGCAAATGAATACCTGGGGAGGGTAAGGAGGAGGAGGGGGAGGAGAGAGAGAATGGCCAAGTATTTCAGGTTACTGGAACAGCAAAGGGATAGAAATGTCAAAGTTCTCAACTTGGAAGTGAGTAACCAAGCTAGGAAGCAAGATTGGCAGGAAGAATTCAGTGGAGAAAAAATTAGACAAATAGGGTTAGGGAAGGATTTTAAAGGTCTTTAAAAGTCAGTCTGGTAAGTTTGGAATTCATCTACTACGTGAAATATAATAACTGGTCTCACTTTGCAGATGAAGGACAGGGATTTGGGGTCAGTCTCCGAACTCCCATGGTTGGTTCTAATTCTGAGTTTCCAGTCTTGCTAGTGAACACCTCAGCACGCACGTAGAGCATAGCTATCTCACAGAGGGGCCCAGGAAGAATACCTCATCCACATACATTTAAAATGTTACTTGATATTTCAGGCATTTTATTTAGACATAACCTGCATTGTTTTATATATATGTTTCTCTGTAATTGCAACAGGGTTTCCAGAAGATAGAGAAACACTAATCAAGCTTGTGTAATTCTATTCGATGCTCTTATCCTCAGGATAGTGAAAATCTGATGGATTAAAACAGCATAATAGACTTACAGCCTTTACAAAACTCCATGGGATGTTGCTGGGGTGAAAATCAGCAATTTTGAATTCTGGTGAGCAGCAAATATTGTTTGGGCAGACTTTTTAATATTTCTGGTCCTCAGAAACCTAATCTTTTCCCATTTGGGGGTGACAGTGACCTTAAATCAGCTATTCACAATCTGTTGGCAAGTGAAATCAAAATATATGCTTAGACAACCTTTTTTGCACATCTTCACAGAGGGAAAAAAATAATCAAAGGAGTTCTCAGCCCAGAATATAAACTATGCTGACAATTACACTCATCCTGCCTAGACATTTCCTGTGCTAAACTCCACGAGGGAAGTAATGCAAAGCTGCCTTGCACATGGAGAAAAATCAATTTCATAAGAGATATATCTTCATGTGTCATGATCCAGTGTATGATTGTAGCCTTTGATGTCTATTTAGCTGGCAGCAAATTTACAGCCATAACTTTTAATTCCCAGCAATGAGTGCAGCAAAAATAACTTAACAGTTAAATAGGAACCTTGTGCTCATTGGGTGACTGTAATCAACTGCCAGGAATGACCTTGAAATTGGACATTCCTCTCTGCTTAAGCACCATTAGCAATATTTTTCAGAAAGCAAACCATTTAGCTGGTTGGCCAAAATAAAAAAAAAAAATGCCGATAAAAATCTACTGTTGGCTACTCTCTAAATTGCATTGCACTATCTGTTCACCAGCTCAGGGTGAAGAACATTGTATATTAAAAGATTTTCATTGTGTAATAATGTGAATACCAGCAGCAGTAATTATAAAATCAATAATTCGTAATAAATATGTCCTCCTTATATAATTACTAAATGATTGCAAAACCAATATTATGCACTAGTTAGAATGGAAAAGGTTCCTGTTAAAGACTTTCTATATTACATATTATTGTGCAAATCTTAAACACTCTTGGTCAAATGAAGCAAAGCTTTATCCTCATCAGAATTAAACTAAATACTATTTCTTTCAAGCTACTAAAAATATTTGATTCATGGTGAAACCAATTATTAGATTAAAATATCTGTCTTCAACATGACTGTGTGTGCAGTAGCTCCACTGCCTACTTTTGTTTTGTGTTGGATAATGTTGAGATTTTGACTTCAGTGAAGGTGTATGTATCTCCAATCATCTGCTTCAGGAATTCATCTAATTGGCATTACTCATGTCATATAAACAAAGTCAAGGCCACAGAGAAATTGTCATCATCCCTGATATTTCAAATCATAACATGAGAGAACATGTTCCTGCTGGGAGAAAAACCAACCAAGTTCCCTTGTTCTGAAGAGGGGAGTATGTTTTGTTCTTTGGTAGCATTACGTCTGAATCCATCATTCTGTGAAATTTCTGAGATTGGGTCACTGCTGGTTGTCACTGGCCATACAGTATCAAACGCTGAGCACTGGCCAGTGGCACTACTTATATAGGAATACAGTATGTTCAGCATCAGATGTACAGGTTAATCTTCTATCCATGAATTTGCTCTCCAATTTCTCAAGGAATATTTAATGTGAATTTTTGTTACTTGCACTCGACTTTGAGCTAGGCAATAGGAGGGAAAAAAAAGAGCAAACAAAGGGAAAATGTGATTCTTAGGTTCAGGCAGTTTCCTGTTTAATTGGGGACATACTCATTTTGGAAATATTCTAGCTGAAATAATTTTTATGTCACAGACTCTGGGATGGTGGTCTTGAGCCTTCTGAAGATAACATTGATTCGTTTACTTGAGGAACCCCTTTGAATGTGACACATGATACAGAAAAAGTCGATCAACATATACCAGGAGAATATTAAGATCAGAATGGATCGTGTAGGCTCAAGCTTGACAACTCAAATATGTACTGCGGGCTTGGTATTTCCACCGTTTAGTTCTCTGATCTCTTAGTGCTAAATGGTAGCTCAACTTCCTGTCTTGCCGCAGGACAGAAACATCATCAGCTGTGCATATTTTGATCTTTTTACTTTTATTATGCAGGAAAATTTTCATCATTCAAAATGTACGGATATAGCTTTAATCTCATAAAAAAAGATATCTTATAGAAATATTTAGACTGTCACTTGATCAAATATTTGTGTGCCATGGCCTAGCCAAGTTGACACACAAAGTCAACCATTCCTCATATCTCCTCAGGAAAGTTGGGAAGCCTTTGGCACCAGTTCTAGGCTGAACTTAATTCACAGATAGGAAAACAGGGAACAAGAACTTTTTTATAATTCATTTTACTCCACACAGTGCTTGGCATGGTTTGGGGCTCTTCTGTTCATTGCTTATCTTCATTCAACAAACATATATCAAGAACTAAGCCGAAAATAGAATTTTCATTCCCAATCTAACCATGTAACGTAATTTTTGCATGAATATAACACATAAGATGAGTGACTATAGAGCAACATAGGTGACTTATGGGTGACAGATGGAAACAGAGTGATGAGCACAGCAAAGATGCTTTGGCACAGGAATGGTGCCATGTATTTCTAATTCTTCTTGGCCTGGTATGAATATTTATAGTGAATAGAAATATGTGAAATCTATATCATCAAACATCAGGTGACTAGGTGTATTATTTTGACATAGTATGTATATGTGTATATATATATATATACATATAATTATTATTATTATTATTATTTTAATGACTATTTGAAGCCAGTGTGGTGGCACACTCCTGTAATCCTGGCAAATTTGAGGCTAAAGCAGGAGATCTCGAATTCAAAGTCAGCCTCAGCAACAGTGAGGTGCTAAAGTAATTTAGTGAGACCCTGTCTCTAAACAAAATTCAAAATAGGGCTGGGAACATGGCTCAGTGGTCGAGAGTCTCCGAGTTCAATCGCTGGTATCCACCCCCCCAAAAAAAAAAAAAAACTGTTTGACATCAACTTTAAACTTAAGTAGAAAAATGATAAAACTTGTAATTTTTTGGTTCAATAATTCTATTTCCAGTAACTTAAAGTACATATATACATACCCCCCCACACACACACACATACACACACACATACACACACAAAGAGACATCTGCAAGAAGATAGATTACATTTTTTTGGACATAGAAATGAAATTGAAATAGAATATGTTCTAATCAATAAAGGAGCAATAACACTGATGTGGCTGTACCCTGAAGCTCCTTGGGGCAACTGCTAAGGAGTCAGAGGAGGACTTACATATTCTCAATGAGAAAGAGCTCCAAGATACATTTTTAAACAAAACAAGAAGCCATGGATTTTTAATAATATATGGATCATGATCTCTCATTTTAAAAATAAAGCTATGTGCATATGTCTTTCTATACAGAAGTGAATAAAGAAAACATGTCACAAAGTACAACAGAACTTTCATGATATCTATCAAGAGATGAAGAGTGAAATGTGAGTAAAAAGAATACTTTGTGTTCTAATTTATATATCTCCATATCTTTTCAGTCATTTAAAATTATTATTACGTGTAATTCATTTATTCATGTTACAAATACAGATGTAATATTTATTAAAACATCCAAAAAAATAAATACATATAATCTGGTTTCATTTTAGTAAATTTCAGAAGAAAATAAGACTGAACTGTAATGCTTAAGGAGGTATGCATAGCCTGTAAAACTATAAAAAGAAACAAAAATATCATTAACACACAGGACAGTGATTTACTCCAAGAAGGAGGGATGAGTATTGGGTTTTAAATTTACATAGATATTCCATGTACTTTTCTGTCCATGTGATATATTTTGTAGGTGCACAATTATAATTGTGTAATATAATTAGAAAACCAAATAAAAATAAATGACCATTGTTTACAGGATTGATATACAAAGAGGATATAAAGGTAGAGACGTTTTCTATAGGCGGTATAAAATAAGATCACGGAGATGTAATAACATCAAGAACAAAAGACTTTGCTTAGAATAAAAAACTCAAGATAGTAATGAGGACAGCACACCTAATGTGATTAATTTTACGGAACTTAGACAATTTTTTTCTATATGGGCAGTACTTGGTTGTCAAAGCAGCCTGATAAAATTTTGTTTACAGATGAAACCCAGAGACTATTTTGAACTGGGTAGTATCTTTTCAGGATTCATATACTGGACTTTAATCACCAATGTGACTTATTTGAAAATAGGGCTTTTAAAAGGGTCATATGGGTGGGCCCAAACTCCAAAGGACTTATGTCCTTATAAGAAGAGGATTAGACACCAGAAATGTATTCTCAAGAGAAAAGGCCAAGTGAGGACCCAGCCAGAAGGAGGCCATCTGGAAGAGGGCCTTCGGGAGAAACCAAATTTGCCAACACCTAACCCTAAACTTTCAGCCTCCAGGATTGTGGGAAAAAAAATATTTCTGTTATCTTAGCAACTAAGTCTTTGCATTTTGTTACAGCAGTTCTAGCAAACTAATGTACATTTCATTAACACAGTTTGTAAATATTGCCCCTAGTACCTAGTTCCATATATATCACACTCTTCACCAAGTCTTTTTCTGTAAAATAAATAAATTTAAAAAGAGCAAGACAAGCTAGTATTTTTAATATGAAGATATCTTATGTGAAAATCTGTTTTATGGAAAATAATTCAAACAGTATAAAAGCATGTACATTCTAAGATAATTCTTTCACCCATCTTGTATGCAAGAAACCTTTCCCCAGATATCTTGTAATCTTGTCTGGCTTATATTTTTAGAGAGAGTCTAGGTATACCCAAGTGTGTATGTGTTTGATTGTTAAAGTGGAAAAATATTATTTTCACTTTCCCTTCTTTTGCTTTTTGTTTTAGCCAGGTATCACAGATAATTATATAATCAAAATCTTATGTTTTAAAAATATTTTAAAATATAAGATAAAAATAAAATAATAAAGCAGTAGTAAGGTCAGTGAAGCCTATAAATAAATAAACATCAACTTCCTAATACCACATTGTATTCTTTTTAATAATTTTCTCCATTTTTAAATTTTCTTATTTGTATGTTCTTGCACATTTTAACATGTCTTGATTACAGTTCAGATGGTAAATATATTGACTTATTATAATAGGACATTGTGTTTCAAATCTCTTTAACAACTTTTACTTGCCCTTAACTACTCTCCAAATGTGAACATAACTTTGGTACTACATAATATTTATATAATAAATGAAATACAGTTTTTAAAAGAATAGGTAGGATTCATTGTATTTGTGTAAATATTGCTGGTTGACTAACCAACATTGCTTTTGTTGTTATTGAAGTTATAATATTAACAGATTTTCTTATTTTTATGCTTTTTATTTATCTATTAATATTTACCCTTTAAATCATCATACGTTTTGGAGAGTTCTCTCCAAATGCACAAAGATATATAATTTGCTTTTCTCTTTCTTTTTTCTCCCTCCTGCCCTACATTTTCCTAACTTCCTTCATTTTTGGGTAAACATGTATGCATTCACCTATCAACAACCTACCTACCTACCTGCCTACCTACCTGCCTATCATCTGTCTCTTCTGAGCACTAGCATCACCATACTTGCTGTATCCAGGAGTAATTTCTCTTTTGGCCTATGGCTTGCTTGATATCCTTGAACTTTTGTCTGGTCTTCATTCATTTTAGAGCTCCAATTTCCTATATCTTATTCCTTCTTCGTTAATTTTATTACTTTTTTTGGTGCTTATCCCCTAGGAGCTTCCTAAGTGAGCACAAGGAACAGGTATGTTTTGTATTCTTAGCTGTCTTGAAATGTTCCTTTTTATTGGGAATTTGAAGTATTTCTAAACAAAATCTTGAAGGCTTTCCTCCAATTTCTGCTATTTTTCCAGTGTAGCTTTTGTAAAGTCTGCCTTTACTTCAGTCCCATTTCTTATATGATTAATCTCCTCCACTCTACTTTAATTGATTTTCTTCATCTCTGTTGTATCAGTCTTTCAAGTCTGTTTTTCACTGGATTAATATCCAATTCTTTCTCAGAGAAAGTTCTCCTCTTCTTTACCTTGTAACTATTGAATTGTAATATTTTAAAGAATATTCCTCTCTTTGAAAAGACAGCGTAGTTTAAAATAACACTTTTAAGCATCGTGTTCTATGCAACTATTCAAATGTATCATAAATAATGATAGGTAGGAAAGACACTCACAGATGGATCTGTATTTAGGGCATGGCTGGAGTTTGCTTAGGACATGTGGAGTCTAAACCGTGTATGAGACTTCCAAGTAGAGATGCAGAATATTTCTTTAGTTATATACATCTGGTAGAGAAGCATGGACTGCAAAGATAAACTTTGAATTAGAAAATATGTGGAATCGAAACTGTGAGCCAGTATGTTATCATCAAAGGAATCAATGTAGTTTAAGAATAAAAGAGGATTAAGGTCTGGATCCTGAGGCACTGTGATAATAAGGCATCAGGGAGAAGAAAAGGAGATTGAGAAGAATCAACTACTGAAATAAGACAAAAACTAGGAGACTGCAGAGTCCTGGAAGACAAGTAAAGAACATGCCCAAATGGAGAGGAGAATGTTCAGATATGTCAGATGCCACTCTGAGGTCAAGTGAGATGAGGGCTGGAACCAAACCACTGGGTTGATCCATGTGGAGAGAAGCAAAGAGGTTGGGATGAAAGTCTCTGGAGGAATAGGCTAAAGGGGAAATGGGCAGAAAGGAACTTGAGAAATAAGCAGCAACGAGTAGATATTGTGATCAGAGAAAGTTTTCATTTTTCCATTTTTTTTTCCAAATTGCAAAATGAATGGAAAGCATATGTGTTAAAGGAAGTGGTGCAATAAAAATCAACAACACAAAAGATAATTTAGGAGAGAAAGGAGATAATTTGGGAAGAAGTATCCATTAGTATATATTCAGGAAAAGGTTAATGTGTCAGATTTGAAACTTCTATACTTAGACATGCTTGCAAAGTTGGACCTTGTATCTGAAAACCTGGTTTTAGGGAGGGTTCCAATGTTTCCAAGAACTGATAATAGTGCCTTACTCTGCCTTAACTGAATAAACAATGGGATTCACTTCAATTCTTTCTGGAAGTAAAAGGTTTATTATGTATAAGGCTGAAAGTGTCATGGTGGCCAGAGCCCATAACAATGTAGGAAACTGAGTCTCAAATGAACTTCCCTAAGAGCAACACTTCACAGGTGGTGTACATTTTGAGGCTGGAGAAATTAGGTATATTCCATGTGATTACACCATAGACAGTTCTCGTAAGCTTTCTCCTGGTTGCCTATAGTCCTTTCCTCATGTATCTTTTTCCCTTTATTGATTTTGTTTTGTATGGCCCTGTAATAAGAGACAGCCATGAAGATAACTATAAAATAAATTATATCCCACATAGCAGATAAGAGTATGTAGTTCATTTGAGATTTTCATACATCATCTGGGTTATCATCATCATAGATATATGCAGAGGTCACCTACATGTTAATGGTGACTGGACAAACTTAAGTGTCCCTTTCAATTGTTTCTTGTGCAGCTCAGACCTAGCAATGCATTACATCATACAATATTGCTGTCTTGTTAAAACATAATGCATGTATTTCTTGTTTTCTCCGTAGATTGAAAGTGCCTTTGTGACTTGAAACCCTGACCTATATTGTCATTTTATGTTTCAGTCTCCCTAGCACTTTGCAGAGAATGTAGCCAATTTTCAGTGAGTTTCTGTTGACTGTTTTCATATGAATTCATTAAAATAGCTTTTACCTCTGGGCTTTCAATTGGGTTCTTGTGTAATAACCCTGATCTTAGCAAATCAGAAAAGAAATCATCACAGAGGATCTTTGATATTATGATATTTTCCCCTAATAAAATATACTTTCTTTCTTTCCATCCCACGTTCATATATACAATGGATGTTCTCTTACTGTCAGGTCACTTCTCAATGCCTTCAAATTAAATGCACCAACACAACAGGCTCTTCTGGTCATGTTTTACATTCTTTCTCAGACTTGATTTTTAGGCATATCCCAAGGTTTAATCAAAAATTTATTTTTTTTTCAGGCATTATCTTGCTTATCTATTCCTGTGTAATGAACTATACCAAAATTTGAGTGTTTTAAAATAATAAACATTTATTTTTCTCAAGAGCCAACGAGGTGTTGGGTTTACCTTTGTCTTCCCAGGTTTGACTGATATTAACCAAACTTTTCTTCTTTTTTTCATTTGTTCTAGTCAGTTATACTTAACAGCATAAAGCTCTTTGATTCATTGTTTACAAATGGAGCACAACTTTTCACTCCTCTGGTTATACACAAAGTCACCAATATGGGTCAGCATCCACTTATCAGAGAGAACATTCAAGAACATCATATATACAGTAAGAGAGCATCATATATGCTATGGGTATATTCAATGTTTGGATTTGGGGGATTGGCTTACTTTGCTTAGTATGATATTCTCCAACTCCA